ACGTTCGACCCGACCTAACCATAAAACTATAATTTAGGTACTAGTGCGGATATGTCGTGAAATTATCTTATTTTGTTTTCAATAGTCTACTATATAGGTATATTTAACATTTCTGAAAATTACGTTCTCTCTTATGTCGTCTCCATTAGAGAACAATTTCATTCTTGAAAAACAAAACCATCTCTAAAACCAAAAACCACCAGTACTATCGCAATCTCTCCATAAGGTTTAACCATACACATATATATTTAAAGCATTCCACATAATAATAATGACTTTCTGACAATTTAAGCTGAACATTTGCGCGATAGGTAAGATCGATTCGGAGACATAAGGGAGAAATTGTGTTCATAATAATTCACCTAAAGTAGTAGATCAATTTTTATACTCAATTTATTAAATTATGTGCTCGTATCGATAAAAAGTTTCAAACAGATCAATCAATCCTATTATTACAACGCTACAGCAAGCATTAAATATCTTCCAAAAAAAAATAAAAAAAATATATAATTAAAATAACAGTTGCTTAATCCGTATTATTTCAATGCCATATTCCTAATTCCTAATCTTAAATTACCTATGACGTCAATAAACATCCATTAAAATCTCCACTAGAAAATCTGTAGGTGATGCTACAAATGATATAGATATACCTATATGCATATGTTATCATTACAGTGATATAATATTCTAATTTGATAATTGATACATAATATTATATAATGACAGTGATGCTCATTTTTTTTTTATTTGTGGACCGCCACTTTAGTTCAAAATTATCAATGAACAAGCCACCAAATATAAAAATACGAATAATCACAATTCTTCCCATGTTTATTAGAAAATCATATTAGACTTGTCCTGTTTTTATTATCTTTTATTTCAATTGGAAAATATACGCAAATCGTAGTTGCTTAATTTTATCAGTGTCCTATTGAAACAATGCACATTGTGCACATAAATACATATTAGTTAGTTAATATTAATTTTTTAAATGTTCGTTTTTAATTTTAGAAATAAGACATATAACGAGCTACTAAGTTAGATAGTCGCGGCTTGGGCACTTCGCTGTTATATATAACATAATATACAGTTTTTATTGATTTCGAAAAAACCTTCCACGCTTCTTCTTTGAATTCCGCGAAAAAAAATCCTAATAAAACATCAAGTACAATAATTCGAACGATCGTATATCGAATTACACTGCACATCAAAACGCAGACCAGTGATAAGTCCGAACATAATAAAATATAATATTATTGAGTGGAACGCTACCAAATTTATTAAACTAAAATCACGGCGATATTGAAGGATGACAGACAATTGAACTACCATGTTTTGATTATTTGAAAGTTCTGTATTTTATTTTCATATAACCCTAGTCTTTTTTAACGTAATCAATAAAAAAATTATGGTATACCACTAAATTTAAGCAAAGTACGTGATATCAGTGTTCACAACGAGTTTTGTAATATTAATTTTAATCAGATATTTTCTTTTTCTTTAACTTGAATTTTTGCATCCAGACGGTTTTATTTTTTCGAGAAACACTATAAGATATTTTCGAGAAACACTAAAAGACATAGTTCGACGTGTTATTTGCGACTATATTATTAATATCGGTGTAATTATTCAAAAAAATGTTGAATTTATAATAATTTATTACATGAGTATATTAAATTGAATATTTTAACGTAAAACATTTCAATGGCTTTACGGCGCTCGCGCGACTGCTTCATAGAACTATTATAATTATAACAACGTGTGCGAAATATTTATTATAACACTACATTATATTTTACCAATTTTAATATTTATTTATAAAAGTAAATTATAATTAAATCAATAATTTTGTGAAAATAATAAAATTGCTTTTGACATATTTTTTTTTATTCATAATTAATTTTCACAAAACCGTCGAGACACGCGTATTTATAGAATTTTATAGGACAGCATTTAAACGACAATACACCGCCACGAGTCAATAACCTGCTGGTTAACACTTTTGATGACGTTGTATGAAATCAAACTAGAAATTTTTTAACTATGTCCCACAGGTATAATTTGCACCTTACTGACCTGTACAAAACGATTGTATCAATCAAATGACGCATATCACCTGTTAAAACAATATATCGCATAAACATATTAGGTTTTCCAATTTAAATTTATATTTTTCCTTACATTTATGATTGATATGTAAAATGATTTAGTTGATCAATACTTATATTTTAACAATATTAATTTGAATATATATTATATGTATTGTAACTTAAAGGCATACTATAATAATGTTAATTTAATTAACTAAAATTGTACACAGTATTATTAATTATGTTAAAAATTACATCGTCCGTTAAAACATGGATAAATAAATAACTACACCATACAGTTCAGTTGTAAAATATTTCAAATAATAATAATATCATATGGAACGATATCTATACTAATTCTCTCCTCAGAGTTTTCAGCTCAAATAATTCAACAGACGTCAGTATGGTTGTGTTAAGTTTGGAAAATAAAAATTTTAATCAATATTTTCACTCTTTGTTTATGTAACCTAACTTAAACCAAGCTTTCATACCAATATTTATACATTTCGTTTACTGCCACATGTATGTGAGGTGTTTAAGGTGTTTTCCATGTTTTAGATTTTCATAACATTATTATGACTTAGGATCCATGTATACATAACTGCAGATATATATCAATTTTCCATATACAGGTGATATTACCATTTATATTTCCAAACGTAATTTATTTTTATTATGCGTCCCGCACATTTAAGTTAATTTATTCGAGTGCGTACATACAGCACAATTAATTTATTTGGCAAAGTTAAATGTTTTGAAATAATTGTCACGACGCGCCTGTTTGTAAATCGTCTTCTATGCTGTTTTTGTCGCGTCGGTTTGTCATCCGAGCCATTTTTCGCAGGACGCATTAACTGTTGCGTATAGCTGTCGAGGGACAATAATGATGAATTTTTCCGCTTTTAAATCGTCCACGTTCAAATAATATAGACAATTATTAACTAAAAATCTCATTCAAATTTCAATAATATGCTCAACTCTGTCAGTTATCCTAAGAAATTAACTCGATCTCAATGTACAAAACAAAACTTATAATCTATGAAAAGGTGGGATACGCACAGGAACTATTGCCCCCACATACCATCATAAACGCTTTTGCCAGATTTTTTAATAATTGTTATCTATATTTTTTTCATAAATAATACTAATCGCGAAACTTCGTCGTTTTAATTCTTCTAATCATCAGCTATTTCAATATTTTCCCACGCTCGAACCGATTTTACCGATAAAATACCAGTATACCATGTACACTCTCAATTCTGTCAGCCGATCGATTTTTATGCACAAATGAATAGTAATTTACAACGAACATAATATTATTATTATTTCACCATAATAATAATATAATAAAAGATGTGTGTCTACATTATACATTTCAAGAAATTTTTGATTTTCGTTTAATTCATATGTATCTTTTCTCTGCTGATGAATAATTAAAGCTATCGTTTCTTATACTACCGAGTAATAATCTACAAAAGGACCCAAACAATAATTCCCTTAGTATGTATGAGTGTGTGACCCATAAACTCGAGAACTAGATTACATAAATATTATATATGGCGTATGTAATAATATCGTGATATGTATTGTGTATACAACTATCGGATTACCCGAGATGGACTGTCCCAAATTTTTGGATAAATTACACATGGAATCGATCCGGGTACGGTACTTTCGAGGAATTCGAATAATAATGTAATATTGATTTTTTCCATCTATTTGTCGTCGGAGCTATTGTCGTCAGCACATGGTGAACTTTCTATGAATATAAACATTCATGGTTAATAATTAATATTGAGGTGTGTGCATTGTTTTTAAATACGTTCATTGAACATGCAAGGTCCGGGAATTACGCGGGTTTTTGTTTTAAGCGCGTATTTAGTTTATTAAACAAATGTTACCACGCATAATAATCCGACAACTCGTTGGTACGCATGAAACTCGATTATTACGAGAGCAATTTTGATTTATTTCACCATAAATTACCGTTGGTAATACGCCCGAGTCGTTTGTCTATGCGTGAACCACGCGGGTATAATATAATATAGTTTGAAAAATTGTATTGACTTGAAAAATTCTTTCTGACCCTATTTCCCGTCCTGTCTACCTGCAATAAGTATTACTTAAAATAATACTCTCGGTAGTGACGTGAAATGACAAACATCCGACCACCGACTATTCCGACGGGAGATGTCAAATCCTTCCTACACACTTATACAAAGATAAAATCATCCCACAAAACTATACTTTAAGTTTCGGTCGTAGTGCACTACGAATTATTATAATGGAATGACGATGGCATAAATATCATGATTATTCGCTTTGTATTATTTAACACGACTAAGTGCACATTCGTTGACGTGGTGCTTTAAGTTTAGCTAAGTATTATAACAGCGATGCTATTTAATGTTGAATTAATCAAAAAAATTCTACTAAATGAATAAATGCATATTTTGTGTAATTTTATAAAACAAAAAAACTTTTAGCGATGGCTCGTCATAAGACTTCGAGAACCCGCAACACTTCCGCTGTACACGCCAATGCTTAACGTGCATAATATAATATACCTACGTATCATTCGCCATTCAGTGCATCTGCACTATTTACTTATATGCACGCGTACATTGCATGCCATTTTTTATTCTTCTCCGAGAATCGTTGGTAAAACTTTTACAACATATCTAATATTGCTTGTTACTAACCGCCTCTTAGGTATTCGTTTATGTATTATGTATACTACTTAACCATAATATACGTATATATATATATATATACGTAAAATAATAACTAAGCATTAGATATGTAAGACTTGCACGTTACAATAAGTTTAATATTGTATTGTTGCTATGATGTTTATTATACCTCTGCTGTGTTTTGTTTCTGTTTTTTTTTTTTACTCCACTATAGGTTCGGTCTCTGTTTGGAGAATGAGAAAGAATATAAAGTGATTTATTCAACGCAAACCAACAACACCCAACGTTTAACTCCGATGCACAAACACACATTGTCGTTGACGTTGCCACAGCCCTGATTGAAAAACATCCGACAATAATCTACTATTATTATTATTATTATTATCATTATCATTTTTATCATTATTATTATTTTTATTATTATTATTATTTACAGTTATCGCATTACACTTATTATATATTACATAGCTAAATATTACTGCAATCGTCGGCGTCGATTCAACAATCGGTATGATTGTATAATATAACAATATAACATTGTGTGTTATATTTTCCAACAGACTAGGTACTATCGATCCGAATCATCACCGGCGATCGGTTCACAAACAATTAGAAACGCGTAATTATTATCCGAATCGTCTAAAACCTCTAGTTATCGTAAAATATAATATTCACATAAAAATAAATCAGCACCTAAACAATATATTATTATTTATACTTACGCCTTTAAATTTCAGTTTCGCTCGCATAACATGCATTAGCTATATAATAATATCATTATCCCACGTGTGCGTCTCCGATAATCATACGCTATCCGCATTATCTGGCGTGTCATATAATATACATTTCGCAATGCACCCCCTCCCCCGTCAAAATTTTAACATATTAATTACGCGTTATTTATGTTATTATCGATTTCTTAATTTTAGTTTTCCCATTTTCTATCGATCATTATGACATGTAATGTTTCATTACTTGCACCCACTCTATTTTTTCCATATTATATTGTTTATATATATGTGTGTGTGTGTGTGTGTGTATGTGTGTGTATAGCTAATAGATCTTCTTCCTTCCTCCCCGCTTCACAAACACACACAGTCTGACTTCGGATCTTTTATCACTCCATAAAACACGTGACGTACAACATAATTTATTATGACGTGTTCATGCTCCACATAATTTATCATACAAAACCAAGCGATTCGACAGAAACAAACAAAAATAAATTCATGAAAACATCAGCTAATAATTCTTGTTAAAGTTCTTAAACCATCATTATTCGATTATATAATACACGTACCTACCTGTTATTAATACAATACTAATTCATCGTCATATTCTTCTTCTTTTTATTATTATTTTTATTATTATATTAATTTATTATTATTTATTTTATATCACCGGTACGTTTACCGACATCATCGTCACACAAACCGCAATATTGTGCTGTGTTTTTACACTTTTTTTTAAATATTATTACAATTATTTTATTGAGATTAAACAACAATCGAAAATCTTTAAGAGTTTTCAACGCGAATAATTCGCTTCAGTCAATCGCTAAATCGATTTGCTTGCGTTAAGATCAATTCAAATCGAATCGTAAACGCGTAATATTGCGACGCGTGTTTAACCTTTACGACAATAATATTATATTATATTATAATATTAGTTTGTACACATTATAGCTGTGTATCATAATGATCAATGCTGTGTTTAGGATCTAACGATTTCCCCCTTTCCCCAATTTCGTTGGAATTAACTAATTATAATGCACGCCCGTTTGATCGTGTTTCGTATTATATTATTATAATTCCATGTCGTGGGCCGAGTCTGAGGGCGCATTTATTATGATCTCGCGCTGACCGAGTGATCGAAATGGATCCGTTTTGAATTCGCGTGGCCCGTCTATTACACAATACGATACCGATTTTGAACTCAAGTATGTATATTTTGTTTAACGATATAGTGATAACTATAAGTATTTGTGTCAAGTGTATCTGTATTGACTACTGTATCCTTCTGTCCGCGGATCACTTTAAATTAATCTCAAAAATTCGAAACCAGACGTTTCGTCGAATGCCAACGTTATTACAACTATCGAATATCGACATTCGATGGGTAATCCACACAGCGGTCTACGTGAGCTTTTTCGACGGTTTTTGAACAGCCGTGAGCTGCCACTGTCTGTTGCAAACAATAATATTGTAGATAGATAATCGCTTATAAGACAAAATTCGTCACTCTGGTCCCAACGGGTGCCGTCCAAACACACGCGAGTGCGCCACTGATAGCAACACCACAATAATATTGTATCATATTGTACAACACACGACGTAATAATACGTATAAACGTATGAGCCGTTAGAGCTAATATACGCGCATAATATTATAAATGATCTGCAACGAAACGCGTGCTAGTCGGGCACGATACAACGTTGAGCTACGTCACTACTGTTTTTGATTTTAATATAATTCTAGTTTACAAAATATCGACCCGATTGAAATCCACTAGGCGTGACCATCGGGAAACGCTGTCTGTTTTAAATTAATCATAAAAAACTATTTATTATTAATAATAATTCATAATCATTAACAAATATTCTATTACATAATAACATTATCAAAGTTTTCACGGTTGTATTACTAGAAATTATACTGAACCAATACAAATACACTATATTTATTTATATTTACAAACGGTTCGTCCGCTCGACGGGCTCTGTATACATCGGAAATCTCAGTTCCATAGTTCCATATGCCCTTGCCATAACGGAATATTTACTTCAAATCTTTGAAACATTTCCATAGTCTTAAACACCATATTAGTTATCGAAAGAATTCTATCTTATTAACACGTTTATATTAAAACAAATCACTATATTATATTTAACCCGTAATTCTTGATATTTATTGATAAGTGTCCTAGACTTGTTAGAACTATTATTCGAACTATTGATGTTTTTTAAATATTATATTATTACGAAATAATAAATAATATAAAATTGATTTTAAGATTACATTATAATTTATGAGTTAAATTTACCACACATACATATATCATATATAGAGCGCGAATGATATATTTTATTGTTGTAGAGGATTACAAATTCCTAAAACTATTTTAGCTTAGGTCTACCTCTACCTTTATACTGTAATATTATAGTTTTAAAATTTATATGTAACATTAAACTATTAGAAATTCCATGATCGCGAATATTAAATATTTTATGACGATACAGACTGAATTTAATAATTCAATTTTACTTGGTAAAACCAACTAGGTCACGTAAATAAATTAGCTTTTTGTAAATTTAAATTAAAATATTACATAATAATATAAAAAACAATAAAAAAAAAAACATAGTAATATATAAAAATAAATATGGCTTTTTTTTTGATTAAAAGTATAACTGACTGGTCTCTTGACGTGGTTTCTTAGGAAACACTTTTTTTTTAATTATTAACACCATTCTCTATCTGCGATGCATTTTCCTTTAAACCATTTATACATCAAACGCGTATTCAAACTATAACCGCTAAGGTCTACAGAATTGTTCAAAAAGTTCGGGTCCTGAAACAAAAATTAATTGTTCGTTTATTAATCAATTTAAATGCTATAATATAATCTATATAATCTAATATTATAAATACACATTTCAGACACTCGATTTCAATGTAACTTTCTATGACTACCATTTCATTTATGCTTTGTATTTTATAATTTTTTTTTCGCGTAGCTAATTAATATCAATTCATAACATTTTATTGATCAATGTTTGGCGTAAAATGTACGAATATAATATAATATAGCCGATGACGATGCAACAAATCTATCGTAGTTTATAAATCCTATTTATAATAATTATTATTATCATTGTAACTTACAAATTTCGGCGGAAATACTCTTTTGCAGTCGTGCCTATCAATATGTTCCCGATAAGCGTTTGTCAGTTGAACTTTCGTGTAACTGTCCATGCAAGGACTGCATAGCAGACAGTCTTCCGAATTGCACGAATTACAATTCATTTTAGCGCACGTTTCCGGATACGCCACGATATTTTTCGTGGACACTGCCATATTAATACTGTCTTCTCTACTAAACATACAAATAGTGCATACAATATATTAGAAAATATCTAAGATTAAAACGCAATGTCGATGAAAAAATTAAAATATTATTGTTTATATTATTTAAACGATAAGCCGTAGTATAACGCGTCATAATAATATACAAAATACAATAATGATTTCATCATTCGTTATAATTATTAAGTGCGTAAAACGAAAATGATACCACATTTTATTTATTCTAAACTTTTCCTAGGAATAAATATGTTCAACCATTTATTATTAAAATACATACAACCAAGTGAGGCGTGAGCAGTGAACACGCATCGACCTTGTTTGCAATCTCTACACTAAAATTTTCTCTAATTATTTAACCCGACCGGCTTGTTACAATTATTAAGGCTTGAGACATTTTACAGGTAGATCATTAATGTACCAATCCACTTAATTATATAATATCGTTTTTACTACTTTTATCGAGTAATTATATCTTCTTTAAGTATTTAAATATATTAAGTATTATTTCTATATGCCTAATTAAAATTTACTCTAAACCCGACTTGCTCACATTTTTACAAAAATAATAATTAATAATTGTTCTAAATAACTGTAACAATTGTATGCTTAATACGTGATTAAAAAATGTCGCTGTTCCAATAGAATCTTTTAGTGGTATTAATGAGTAGTTATCGATTTAATAACAGAAAAAAATAACCATTATTACCGTTCAAAATAAGTCAAGCCAACAATAGCAAATAGATTGAATAACACTTGTTCGTAAAGCAAACGATTTGGTCGGTAATGAGCCGATGACAAATTTGGCGACATGTTGACCTAAAAAACAAATTAAAATAATGCATAGTTGGTCATTTATTTGAATTTCAAAACAAATTATCGTTAGATTAACTTGAATCCTATTAACTACTCACCTCCATTATATACACTTTTAGATCATTATCAACAACAAAATCAAAACGTGCCATTTCAAAAAAATTAGTTTTCGACTTGTAATTTCTCATTAGATTTCTTATCTTTGATTCTTTTTCTAAACATACAACTCGTATGGCATCTTCCAGTTGGTCCCATATTTTTGTGGCATCTCTTCCTTTAAACAGTAAAAAAGCGATATTTCAATAATCAATCCAATTCAACAGTATATAGTTTCATAGAACGATGTTGGTCACCTTGAGCTTTCAAATGAGATTCAACAGAAGCTTTCATAGAAGCGCCTTGGTCGACGTAGTATTTTTTTAGAGACGGAACTTCCCACGTTGGTAAATAGTCATCTCCTATTACGTATTTGTCTATATTGTCGGGATTAAATGGATGATATTTTTCTGGGCAAAATCTAAAAATACATTTAAAAATATAAATTTTGCAACAAACTGCGCTACGTCCCACATACGTATAGTTACATTAAAAACACATAAATAATTATAAACAAAGTAGAAAGCGATCAAGTTTCCTAAACTTTAAATCACACTAAAAAAAGTCAGATTTATAATTTTTTTCAAATTACATTATTTTAGGGCATCTAAACTCCATCATCTGTTTTAAGTGAATAAATTGAATTTTTAAAAACTTCTTAAATATGATAAGTAAAACAATTCATGATTTATTTTAATTAATATATCATAATTAAACTGGAATGATAATTATTCGTTGACTTACTGGGAGTATACAAAACTTCATTTACATTAAATAAATGGATTTATGAAATAGGTAGCAGATACTCGATTAATAGGTACATAGAAATTCTAGCTGAGAGTAAGATATTTTATTTTGCCATCTATTTGAACGTATAAATTCTTACATAATAATTTAATTTAAAATTAATTTTAAGTTGCGTTTCCTACTATACATACGAAAAATCAACAGAAAACTTTTATTTTTAGTTTTCAAATCAATAACCACTTTTGTTACAAACAATACAAAAAACGTTCTTGCGTATACGTTTTTTTTTACTCGTTATAATTAAAATAAAAATTAATCTTGCAAATAACCACACATGATCCATATCGTTCAAGGTATCATATTTAGTTTTGAATTCCACAACTCATCTAAGAGATTACAAAATACGTGCATTAAGAAACGATTGAAGTGAAAACAGTAAATACTAGATGTCCTTCGAGATGTCGAGATGAATAATAGTATATTAATCATAAATAGTTTACTGATCTTGATTGTGGTGTAAAATTAAATAATTTATGATCACTTTTAAAATTGACATGTATAGGTAAACTAAAAAATCAACCTCACATACGGATCATGATGTTATTGTGGAAATTTACTTTTTTTTTTTTTTTGCTTCGCCTATACATATTATAATAATTATTAAGCTTACGGTTCAACTGCGAAGGACCAAATATTATATTTATTTCGTATAAAACTATATTATAAATTACTCGGAGTTATATTATGTTGCGTGATTAATAATAGCTATAATTAGTATATAATATAATATAGTTTATAGTACATAGTTCATATTTTAATAGATTTAATTTTATTCGTATTAGCCAATTATTCTATATTATTGCTTTATTATAACTCTAGGGTGGCAACAGCCGACTATGTTTAGAATGAGACTGAACATCAGTTCAAATCAGAGATAGTACCTATTTTGAACAGGAAACATCGTCCGATCAAATACCCTATACCTATAGAATTACCATTAAGTTTATAAAATTAATTATGTTATTAGAGTATTTTATGATAAGTTATATTGATGTTTGTTTAATAGTTTAAAATACAATATTTACCTATAGTTTATTTTTTATTTGCATTGTAGTTTTTAATCTTAAGTTTATTATTTAATTATAAATAGTATATGTATTTTATTTGATGCTTAAAATATTTTACTGTAGTTGAATCTATTAAAAATTTACTCATTGGAAAAAAAATAATAAATTAAATTAATTAAAAATATGTAAGTGTTTTTTTGTATCACCTAAATTAAATACAAAGTTTTCCATTATAAAATGATAAATTTTGTCATAAGAAACGTAAGTATTGGTATAATATACTATAGTTCAATGTAATTTGATCATATTATATCATTACATTATTATTTTATAGAAATTGGTGAAAGTATATTTTTTAATTTGAATTGTTTAATATTAGTCTTGCGAACATGATCACTTAATTATATTTATTTAAAAAGTTTATTTATTGGACAGAGTTTTGTAATCTTTTTATGTAGATTTTTTTTTTTTTTTTTTTTTTTTTGATAGCTTGTATTTTTTCAGTAATTTGGTAATTAAATATAAAAAAAAAAATAAATAAATAATAAATATTAATTTGATTAATCGAAAAAAAAAACCGTAGCACTATAATACAACAGCCAAACTCAACTGGTGATCCAACAAGCTTTTTATGACACAAAAAGAGCATTCAAACTGATTTAAAATTTAAATTAAATTGTCTGGAAAACAACAAATTTTCAAACATTATGAAATTATAATTTAAATTTAAATTTTTTTCTTTTTTTTCTTTTTTGCGTGAATTGCCGTTTTCTTTAGGTGACGGCGTGATACACGACAAAATATTATGTCACTGTCATGTTCCAAGAAAACAAAAAGCACGACAAATGCGATCGAACACTTCAAGTTAATTTAAGTACTAAAGTCGATGGAAACAAACGCTTTTCGAAACGAACGCGACGCTCGCACGTACAGGTAATAATAAACGCATTGTACATTTTATAATCTGTAAGTCCGTATGTAATACTGCAAACGTCGAACACATTATTAGTTAAATAAAACAATCCGAAACGTAATACTATGTACCTGAATAAAATATCCCCGTTGTACATGTAAACCCTAAGAGGATCTATGGACGTAATGATTGTATACACTCCGATATCAAATTTATATCCATCAATCAACAGGGGATTATCAATATACTCCTGAATAAATGTCCCAGATGAATTGAAGTCCAATCCTCCGATTGATTTAATTTTTATGCCGCGGTGGTTGTTTTGCTTTTGAACGAACAATTTATGAGGATTTTTTTTGACCTGAAACAATAGTAAAACAATCGAGCCTAATTATTATCGGAGATAATAGCGCTCAATAAATATATTAAACACATGCATAACGTCAGTTAATCAACATAAATGTAAATGCGGAGAAATCAATAACTATTATAATATTATATGCCCCGCTTTTTGGTCGATCTCTTCAATTATTCATTTTTTTTTTTATTATTATTATTACCTATTATTATTATTTACTTATATATTATTTTTAATTACTTATAGATCTTAAAAAAACATTTGCCGTATATTAAATAACTATTTTCTTGTAGCCATTTATGTAACTCTATGTAAGTCGAAAAATATATACAAACAAATTTTATTAATTAATAATAGTTAGTTGTTAGAAGTTGATTTCAATGAAAAAAAAAATATATTAAAATAGGTTTACTAACTCTACACTGTACATTTTAAAAGTTATTGGTTTTGTTATCTATCAAAATATTATGATATCGTTATCATATACATGTTTAATGTAGAGGTCGGCAATAGGCGGCCCGTGAAAAGAAAATACTAAACCGAACCATCAATTAATATTGTTTTTTTAATGTTGATTTTCTGCACACAATAGACATTTGATATTTGAGATACTACAAAATATGCAGCCGCATTAGGCGGCAAATTTTTGGAGAGTGGCTTTTTATGCGCAACAAAATTGTATTTAATATTTATTTTGTTTTTGTATAAAAAAATACTTAATATTTTTTTCTTGAATTTTTCAATTTCAAAATAAATAATTAACATTAAAACTACTTACATAACTAAATAATTATTTAATAAATTTATTTATTTTTTCTTATTTAATAAAAATAAAGAGAAAATATTGTATTTGAATTAAAACGTTTTTATTGAACTTTAGTTAAATGAAAAAAACAATTGCATACGTAGAAATTGTTATTATGTTAAGGAAATTTTGTTGTACAATGGTGATTTTTTTTAAATAAAGGCAGCAATTTTTTTTTTTTTTTTGACATAGGGATGACATATTGTTAAATCCACCCCTGCATTTGACCTATATCTTCATAATGTATTTGGAGATTTCGATAGCGTTGGTCGCTTATTATCGCTGTTTACCATAATATTCACGATACACGATAGTTATTAACTAATATTTAGGTTTTTTCTGGCCCTCAAAAATTGTCTTTCAAATTATCTAAACCGCCAATCGCCATAGAATTGAATTTCTGACCTTCGGTCTAAAGGATCCATTTATACTCAAATATCTAAAACATGACTGACAAATGTGAAAAATTTTGATTTTTCTTGCGGCATTTGAAAAGCTGGAGGTACATATTTTATGTCCGATATCGCCAAATCAATTTTGTTGGTTATAAAACCTACGCCAGGAAAATGGTTGACCTTAAACAAAACAAATAAACGTTGTAGATAAAGATAATATAATATTAAATTGCAAATAAACTATCGATTATAATATATTTAAAACTTAAGTTTAGCTTTTGAAATTGTATACAGTAACAGTTATTATTTCAAAGTAGGTACCTATATCAATAAAACAATAATGAAATATGATATTAAAATATGCGTTAAAAAAATGTTTATTTTTAATTTTTCATTATATATTTTTAACAATAACTAATGATTTTTAGTAGTATTTTACAACTTTTTTTTTTACACGGGTAAAGTTAATAAAATGTTTTTTTGAAATCCAAAGTTAGAAAAATAACTATCAATGTATAAAAATTTACAAAAAAGAACTATAACATAAAAAAAACGTAATAGTATGAAAAAAACAAACAATTTCGTACATAATATATCGTTAATAGTTTGCAAAACTTATTTGGGACGAATTCCATGTTTCGAAATAAACATTGATAGAATAGACAATCGTGAATTTCATTAATTGATTATGATGTCGTGTATCAATCTCTCGATAACGACAAAATAATATATACCTATCTGACAAAAATATTTTGAAAAATGTCATAAATCTTTACAATGATAAAATACATACTGTGTATACTATTGAGAATTAGTATAATATTAATAACTAAAATTATTATAATAATTTTAAAAAACTAAAAAATTACCCACTTTTTAAACATAGGAAAATATAACTCACTCATTCGCCTCACAAAAAAAAAAAAATTATTTACTCAGTAAACTTATTTACCTTATACTCTTGTGATGGATATATTAAAAATAATATTTGAGGATGATAATTTGTATCTAAATAAAAACTATACTGTACAACACTGTTAAACGCGCGTAAACACGGCGTGTAGAAAGTTTGAATGTACCTACACTTCGCGCGTCGTTTTCTATTGATGAGAGATCGTAGGTTGTAGGTAGATACGCAAGCGACGTGATAAAACTCGAATAAATAAATAATAATCTCTTACTTTTTGGTGAGGTTTCAAATCGGAAAACGTAATCTTGTCGGCGTACGTTTTGAACGGATACTCGTGAGCCCATATGACGTCCCAATCTACTTTTTTGTCGAACGGTCTTCTCGTGTACCCGTAAACGTCGAACACGTCGAAAACGTGCACCAAGTGTCCAGCGTCGGCCTGAAAACGATCACCGAATCACAAGTCTGACAGATGCACATATATGTACATATATCATGTAGTAGGTACACGACGAATAATGATTTTAACATCGAAAACTTGTGTACGAAAATACGTATATTACAGAACGATCCTATCGAGAATAAACCGCAAATATATCTTAGAAATCATTAAAAAGAAATTATTTCGACTTCTATTCTACGAACAAAAACTGAAAACGGCGAGTGCGGAAAAATATACGAAAGCGAGATGTAGCGTACGGTTTAAATACGAAAGCTTATACGCACTATACCGTACACTTCCTATAAGACCGTCGCGGTCATCGTCGGTTCGCGACACGAAGTCATTCTTCGACTTGTAACGCGATTCATCGACCACGCTCGACTCGTCATTTTTCCGGCAGGTACTTTATATAAATTCCTTGCGCGACTCTTTTGCGGCGACGGGCAAATTACTGACTTCCGTCGCGCGCGGTACCTGCAGCAACACACTAATGGCTGCGTTCATATCGCGCCGGATCAATTAAAATATAACTCGTGTCACGCGATCGGTATCCGCAAAGGTTTTCGCTCGCTGGCGGCTGCAAGGTCGTCGCGGCGTCGGAGAACAAAACCAAAACGCGTTGTACCCGCGCCATCGCCGGACGGGCCGGATGTCCGGGCGATCGGCGCACTGCGACCGCGACGGTATTGGTTTTATGGAGAAAAAAAACCGATTGAACCGACACAAGAAAAAAAGCAAACGCGACGACACCGGAACTGCGGAGCGTGCGGCGTGCGAAAACGCGTAGCGAGCGCGATCGGACGGACC